CTTGACTTGCATTCGCAGGCTTGCTGAACCAACAAGTTGTGATGTTGGGCCCGAGCTATCGCCACTCCAGTGTGCTTCTCCCGTAGATAGGCATATTGTGGAACCTGTTGAAGATACCTCTCCACGTACGGCCGCAAACGCTGCTGTAGTATGTGGGAGAGGGCCCGGCCGCTGGCCTCAGTCAACCCGATGGGTCGTAGGTCTCGTGGGGAGACAATTCGCAGCTTCTTCGGTATCAAGACCAACCAGGCATCCTTCCACAAGCCGGGCACGGCTTTGAGGCTTTTAGCCCATTGGGTGAGAGAGGGGGCCAAGAGGTCCGAGCAGCCCTTCCACATCGCTGTCGAAGCTAAGTGGGGTGGCGTGGCTTTATGGGCCAACAAGCTGGACAAGGCCTGCTGAACTTCGGCCTCTGTAACCTCAATGCAGAGCTGAGCCCTTGCCGTGGGTGGAGGCTTCTGAGGGTCTCGCTTGTAGACCTGTTGGTAGTGCGCCCGGAGCTGCCGAATTTGCTCCTCCGCCGATTGCAAGTACCCATCTTGGTTCTTAAGTTGGACTTCGCTCTTCTTCTTCTTAGGCGCCATGGTGCGCATACCTGCGAAGAGTGCCCGCATGTCCTTCCTAGCAGCCGCCTGTTGTAGGTCCTGCAGCCGGTTGCTGAACCATTGTTTGCGAGCTTGCTTACCTGCCTTTCTGAAATCCCGCTGCGCCTGTCGGAACGTCGCGTAGCTGCGCCACACCCGTAGGATGGCTCCGCGCCCTCTCCGGGCTTCGCGCTTCCACTGTGCATACGCTTGCCACATGCCCTTGATCCCGACCTGCATGGGCTGGGTTTGCCACGCTGTCAGCCTCTGCGGGCGGACCTGTGGAGGGAAGACTTGAGAGGCACAGCTACACAGCAGGGCGTTCATGGTGGGGGCATCCACGGCCTCTGACAGGTCGGCTGCGACCGCTTGCCTGAAGGCCTGTAGTTGCGGTGAGTGCGGGTTGCGGAGGCTACTGATGAGGTCCCATTGATTCCATTCTCTCCTGGGCTGCTTTGGCTTATTGAGACTGTGAAATCGATGTACGGGAAGACTGCATAGGACTGGGAGATGGTAGCTTCCCTGTCTCCACGCCGCAAGGGATGTCTTGACCGGCTTGGCTGTTTTGGCTCGTTGGTCACACTGCGATTTACGAAGCAAGACATGATCAATGAGGGCCTGACCTTTGGCATGGAAGTAAGTTGCTCCAGCTTGTCTCTGCCAGGAATTGACTTGGATCATGTGATGGTCCTCAAGGGCGCGAAGGAAGGAGCTTTGGTCAGCAGGGGGCTTGGTGTCCTGCGGAGCACACCTGGGGCCTGCACAGGCTCCTTCTCGTAGAGGGCAGTTGAAGTCACCTGCCGCCAGTACCGTGTGTCTCTGCGGCGCCCTCGCAAGCACGGCCTCAAGGGCTTGCCACACTCGATTGCGCAGGGCCCGGACTTCATCGGCGGTGTCCCTTCCCTGGCCGATTTGTCTTTGGTAGACATTGTAGGTGTCGAGTGTCCAGTCCGGCCTTTGGAGACGGACGTGTAGTAGGCGGCCTGGGACCGGGTCAGTGTGGAGTACTTGGCCGGTGCTGCAGAGGCCACGATCGAGGAGGGTAACCACTCCTGCCGACTGATTGTCGGTGGCCGGTGACGTAATAACCTTCCATCGACCCGAATTGAACGTCTGAGCACAGCGGTCGCCCCAATGGCTTTCTTGCAGCATGACAACCTGTGGCCTGTGCTGCGGGTCGATGTTCTCAAGGTACAGGAGGAGTTCGTCCCACAGGGGTCCTGAGAGGCCACCGCAGTTCCAACTGAATAGTAGCACCCTGTCCGGGTTTCGCAGGGGCGTCTGCCTGAGAGGTGCGGACTGCTGCCGTGCATCTTGGCTGTGGGCTCCAACACAACTCCTGTGTAATTGTCTTAGGGTCACGGGCCGGCCTCGGTAGGTGGTATACTGCTCGGGATGTCGAGCCGCTCTCCTGAGTGCCCTCTTATAGGCTCTCTTCCGAATGGCGGTGTACGCAGCCCGGGGCTGTGGCTCCCTGCTGGCTGCTCCGCAAAGATGCAGGTCCTGCTGCTGGAGTGCAGGCGCTGACGCAGATGGTTGAGCTTGGAGGGCCAGGCCTAGGAGTAAGCCTTGCCACCAGCGGGGCTGCCGTCTGCGCGGTGGGCCTGAGCGCGATGATGGGACTCTGTTTGGAGGTCCGTCGGGGCGTGGGTCCAGTGAGGCCGACGCCGCGTGGCAGCTATGCACACATGGATCGGGTAAGGTGCGTGAAAGATGGGCTGCGGTCGCGGCCGAGTGCAGAGCTAGGGTGGCACGGTAAAGCTGTCCCTGCTTCTTGAACACCTTCAATCGGTATCGCTTCCATTTGTCGCTGTTTGGCATCCGCAGTCTCTCGGGCAGGCTAAGTTTAATAGCTGATTGACTGGGGGCACCGGTGGTAGAGGACGGGCCCCGCGGGGCGGCCGTCCATGGTTGAGGGCTGATATCAGTATCTGGCTCATGTCTAGGCTTCCCAGAGAGGATTCTGAAAAGACCCCTCGCTGGTCTCAGTGGTGCGTGACGTACACCACCAACCCTCACCCCTATCAGCCAGGGCAGACGGAATCTTCCAATTCGCAGGGGGGGCCCCAAGGTGAGATGGAGGACCCGTGACTCAGGCTGATCTTCGGCATTGGGACCGGAGTAGCTCAATTGACTTGGTCGATTGTAGGGTGTGGTGCTAATGACTTGCTCTTTGCGGCTAGCGTGCAGTGTCGATTGTTCTGATCGGCCCGGGTGTCTCCACCTCGTGGTGGGCATCTTAGTCCATCTCTTGAAAGTGAAACAGACTAGCCAGGCTGTTGTCCTGAGACGGAGAGGCGCTGTTCCAGGCCTGGTAGTGCTCCGGTATTTTGTTGACTGCCGATCGGCGTGCTGGACCCAAGCGGGGCTGAGCACCTTTCGCTCGCCACCTGTCTGAGCGGGACCGTGGCTGGCCTCCCGCTGGGGTTCGCGCCTCGTAGTGCTCCCGGCATAGACGGCAGCTTGGACAGGCCAGCTTGGCTGCTTCTTTTGAGTCGCCTGCCCGGTATTCGTGGTCCAAGGGCCCGGCACAGACCTGAGTGCTGTTATCCTGCGAGGGTGCTGCCAATGTAGTAGGCATACCTGGGTCGAATTCCAGGCAATACTCAGCGTGGCTCGCCATAGCTGGGGCTATTGCCGGGATAGAGGTTGGAGTGCGGGGCGGCGGTCGGCGCCCTTGCCAAGAGACAGGCCATTCTGGGACGATAACTGGGTCCTGGGGGCTGTAAGAACATGCCTGCCAATATGTTCGCATGGTGCTTGGCATTGTCATCCGGAAGTGTCCAGGGAGGTAGCCTGGGCATAAGAATAGATAACAAGGTGTCCGCCTGCTTGGGCCGCTGCCTACATTCGTCCTCACTCTGGTTGAGGCTGAGGCTGAGACTGAGGCTGTTGCTGCTCCGGCTCCGATGGCGTCTTGGAAGGACACTGCGTGGAGCACGCTGAGAGGCAAGATGGCTGGGAGTAAGGACGTCGCCAGCCGCGCGGCCGTGGCAGGGCTGATTTGCCGAGACCTCGGAGACCTGGGAGCACGCTTGGTACGAGTCTCGTCAGACCTTAACACACTGGAACGCTGGTCAGCGGGCAGCATGTATTCTCCCTTCTTCCCAGTCGCAATCTGGCCGGCGTTCGGTCCCCGTTTTGGGTCCGGCGAGTCTCTCTCATCTTCGGGTCACAAACCAGAATGGTCGCTTGCGCGGCCTTTTTGGGTTCTCTCCCTGATGTCCACTGCTCCGCCTGGTCCGCTTCGGAAGCGTCTCGTCCTGGGGCTTGTCGGTCTTCCGGGTCTTCTGTAAGCGTCGGCAGGTGACCCTGGACGTCAGGGTCACTGGCCGTCTAGGCTTCTTGGCGTCCGGCTCTTCCTCTACCTCCACTTCCACCTCCACGTCTTCGACCATGGTCTCTGTTGACGGGGTGGACTCTTTCTCTCCTCGGCTTGTGGGCCGTTCGGCCTCCGCCGTGTGCGGCTGCTCGTGTGAGCTAGTGGCCCTGTCCTGGCTGTCCTGGCCGTCCTTGGCGACTCGCAGGCCGATCTGTCCGGGCATCGGCTGGACCTCCTCGTAGCCTTGGCAGCGGAGACCTGGAGCTTGACTGGTTCGCCTTGGTGCTGCCGGAACGGTCTGCTTCGGTTTGGGGCGTGTCACGCTGTTGGCCTAAGACCTCCTTGTCCTTCGTCGTCTTGCCCGTGGCTGCCGAAGTCGGGGAAGTTGGCTCCGGCATCTTGGCGATGGGCTCCCGAACTGCCGAGGTCGCTGGCTTGATTCTGCCCCTGACCTTCGGGGTGGGGAGCAGTCTGGGCTCTGCCTCCGGCTTGTCGGTCTCTGTCTTCTTCACCAGCTTGGCTTCCTGTGGTTCCGGAGCTGATGCCGAGGCCGCGCCCTTATGCGGAGGTTTTGCTGGGACCAAGGATCGTAGTGACTGCCAGCCAAGGACCCACCTCGCCGTGTAGAGCGTGAGTGGTGGCGGCCGGAGGCGCCGCCGCAAAGAGGCATGGAGGCCGTCATCCTCCGGGGGGTCCCCCGGGGGACTGTAGACAAGGTTGTCTTTATCCACCGTCCATATCTTTTGTTGCATGGCCGCAGTGCCCTCCAGCAACTTTATATTGAGGGAGGACCCGGTCGGGTGTCTGCCCCGTTGAATCAGGCCTTTGCAGCCGATAATACGACGATGCGCTCCTCCAGTGATACGGACTTCAGTGCCTGGAGTCAGCTCTTCCATCCGGCATATAGTAGAGGAGTCGAGGGGCGCCGGGAGAATACGCGGGGGCTTCTTTCCCATGATGCCCGAGGGAGGTGGCCCCGGCACAAGCCCTGAAGTTGGGCCGGAAAACTGCTGCGGTCCGGTGTTGTACAGGGCAGCTGTGGAGCGGCATCTGGCGAGCAGGCCTTGTTCCATCTGCAGATGCACTGGGCTCCCGGCTTGCCAACTGAGTGTTGTGCTGGGCCATCTGTGGCGACCAGCTGCGTCTCGCTCTGAGTTTTCGGGGTCGAGTCTCCTGTACCATACGGCTATGATCTGGCCTACTGCGATGGTGCATGGGCAATTGCCTGGGCTTTGCGGATGGACTCGGGAGGCCTGCTTGCCGTTCTCCGCCATGAGGGCCTGGGTCAGCTTGGCACTGCAGAGGCATAGTCCTCGCCGGTGAGTCAGTTTCTGCACGAATGGGGAGATGCCTATTTTTCCGACCCGCCTGGGAAGAGTCTGGCGGTAGAGTGGTCTATCTATATCCCCTGCCCCGTCGGTTGGAGCAGCGCGGCCCGTTGCCTGTAGTAGTGGTCGTAGTGGTGTAGCAGTAGCAGTAGCAGTAGCAGTAGTAGTAGTAGTGGGAGTGACACCGACTCCCTTCCAGGCCAAGGCCGAGGAAATGAAGTGGCTAAAGGACGGTCACTGGTGCTACCAGAAGTGGTCGTCAGCACTGGGGAGCCTAGTGGCCTAGTGGTGGACGAGAACCGGCCCCTCTTCCGCATACGAAGCTAGTGGAAGCCCTTCAGCTGGTGCTCCCCATCGTCATGCAGCCCTACATGATCCATCGCTTCCATGCCACCAGGCCACTAGCGGGCAACATGACAGGCGTGACGGCATTCCAGCTGGACATATCGAACCGCACCAAGGGCCACTGCACGGTATGGGAATGCATGGAGGCCCTGACGGGTCTCCCGGCGCTCCAGATCATCGGCCTTCAGCTCCGACGCGACACACTCCGGCAGTCCCCGGCTGCCGCGCTTGTCCAGCAAGCCTTAGCAGAGTGCTCATGATACGGCTACTCAACAGCAGCAATACATGC